CACGGATTTCGCACATCTGTTGGCAAATTCTGGCGGAAGTACCGACTGCTCACTTCCGCCAGATTTTGCCAACAGATGTGCGAAATCCCTGGCCCTTTTTGTTTAATGCGGTATTTACGGGCTTTTTGCTCGGTGGCGGATCACTTCCGCCAGATTTTGCCCGCAGATGTGTGGGATCCCTAGCCCTTGAAGTGGTGGGTGAGAGGGTGGTGGGAGGGTGGTTGGGAGGTAGGGTGGGCAGGAGGTGGAGGGAAGGTTGTGTAAGAACTCAGATCACAAAATCACAGATCGCAAGGGGTGTCCCCCTAAGGTCTTGTGAAAACTCAGATCAGAAAACCGAAGAGCGCAAGGGGTGTCCCCCTAATCCCTGCGAGCCGCGACCGAGCAGAAAGCCTGTAAATATCGCGTTAAAACAACGGCCAGGGATCCCACACATCTGCGGGCAAAATCTGGCGGAAGTGATCAGCCACCGAGCAAAAAGCCTGTAAATATCGCATTAAACAAAGGGCCAGGGATTTCGCACATCTGTTGGCAAATTTTGGCGGAAGTACCGACTGCTCACTTCCGCCAGCTTTTGCCAACAGATGTGCGAAATCCCTGGCCCTGTCTTTAATGCGGTATTTACAGGCTTTTTGCTCGGTGGCGGATCACTTCCGCCAGATTTTGCCCGCAGATGTGTGGGATCCCTAGCCCTTGAAGTGGTGGGTGAGAGGGTTGTGGGAGGGTGTTTGGGAGGTAGGGTGGGCAGGGGGTGGAGGGAAGGTGTGTAAGAACTCAGATCCCAAAATCACAGATCGCAAGTCGTGGTGTTCCCCCTAAAGGTTGTTATAACAAATAAGTTCCAAAATCACAAATCGCAAGGGGTGTCCCCTAATCCCTGCGAGCCGCGACCGAGCAGAAAGCCTGTAAATACCGCGTTAAAACAACGGCCAGGGACCCCACACATCTGCGGGCAAAATCTGGCGGAAGTGATCCGCCACCGAGCACAAAGCCTGTAAATACCGCATTAAACAAAGGGCCACGGATTTCGCACATCTGTTGGTTTACAGGCTTTTTGCTCGGTGGCGGATCACTTCCGCCAGATTTTGCCCGCAGATGTGTGGGATCCCTAGCCCTTGAAGTGGTGGGTGAGAGGGTGGTGGGAGGGTGTTTGGGAGGTAGGGTGGGCAGCAGGTGGAGGGAGGGTGAAGTGGGAGAAAGGGGGGGTGGGGGTTGGGACGCTGGGTGGGCGCTGAGGGTCGGTGGGTGGCAGGGATGGGTGAGGGAGGGTAGGTGGGGTTTTACTTCCCGGCCCCATTTAAGTAATTTAAATAATTAAATCCTGGAAAAGGGCCGGGACCCCCGGAATTAATTAATTTAAATCCAGGGGGTTCCCCCATATTTAAATTATTTAACTCCCTGCCCCGGACCCCGCCCACACCCCCTCCCCCAGGATTTAAAATATCTAAATTATTTAAATTATTTAAATTATTTAATTGGGGCCGGGAATTAAATAATTTAAATAATTTAAATAATTTAAATAATTTAAATAATTTAAATAATTTAAATAATTTAAATCCTGGGGGAGGGTCCCGGGGCCCCGGAACCCCCCCCAGACCCCCTCCCCAGGATTTAAATTATTTAAATTATTTAATTCCCGGGCCCAATTAAATAATTTAAATAATTTAAATATGGGGGAGGCCCCCGGATTTAAATTATTTAAATTATTTAATTCCCGGCCCCAATTAAATAATTTAAATAATTTAAATCCTGGGGGAGGGTCCCGGGGCCCCGGAACCCCCCCCAGACCCCCTCCCCAGGATTTAAATTATTTAAATTATGTAAATTATTTAAATTATTTAAATTATTTAAATTATTTAATTCCCGGCCCCAATTAAATAATTTAAATAATTTAAATAATTTAAATAATTTAAATAATTTAAATCATGGGGGAGGGTCCCGGGGCCCCGGAACCCCCCCCAGACCCCCTCCCCAGGATTTAAATTATTTAAATTATTTAAATTATTTAATTCCCGGCCCCAATTAATTAATTTAAATAATTTAAATAATTTAAATAATTTAAATCCTGGGGGAGGGTCCCGGGGCCCCGGAACCCCCCCCAGACCCCCTCCCCAGGATTTACATTATTTATTAATTCCCGGGCCCAATTAAATAATTTAAATAATTTAAATATGGGGGAGGCCCCCGGATTTAAATTATTTAATTCCCGGCCCCAAATAAATAATTTAAATAATTTAAATAATTTAAATCCTGGGGGAGGGTCCCGGGGCCCCGGAACCCCCCCAGACCCCCTCCCCAGGATTTAAATTATTTAAATTATTTAAATTATTTAAATTATTTAATTCCCGGCCCCAATTAAATAATTTAAATAATTTGAATAATTTAAATAATTTAAATCCTGGGGGAGGGTCCCGGGGCCCCGGAACCCCCCCCAGACCCCCTCCCCAGGATTTAAATTATTTAAATGATTTAAATAATTTAAATTATTTAAATTATTTAATTCCCGGCCCCAATTAAATAATTTAAATAATTTAAATAATTTAAATCCTGGGGGAGGGTCCCGGGGCCCCGGAACCCCCCCCAGACCCCCTCCCCAGGATTTAAATTATTTAAATTATTTAAATTATTTAATTCCCGGGCCCAATTAAATAATTTAAATAATTTAAATATGGGGGAGGCCCCCGGATTTAAATTATTTAAATTATTTAATTCCCGGCCCCAATTAAATAATTTAAATAGTTTAAATAATTTAAATAATTTAAATCCTGGGGGAGGGTCCCGGTGCCCCGGAACCCCCCCCAGACCCCCTCCCCAGGATTTAAATTATTTAAATTATTTAAATTGTTTAAATTATTTAAATTATTTAAATTATTTAATTCCCGGCCCCAATTAAATAATTTAAATAATGTAAATAATTTAAATCCTGGGGGAGGGTCCCGGGGCCCCGGAACCCCCCCCAGACCCCCTCCCCAGGATTTAAATTATGTAAATTATTTAAATTATTTAAATTATTTAATTCCCGGCCCCAATTAAATAATTTAAATAATTTAAATAATTTAAATCCTGGGGGAGGGTCCCGGGGCCCCGGAACCCCCCCCAGACCCCCTCCCCAGGATTTAAATTATTTAAATTATTTAAATTATTTAAATTATTTAAACTATATTAATTCCCGGCCCCAATTAAATAATTTAAATAATTTAAATAATTTAAATCCTGGGGGAGGGTCCCGGGGCCCCGGAACCCCCCCCAGACCCCCTCCCCAGGATTTAAATTATTTAAATTATTTAAATTATTTAATTCCCGGCCCCAATTAAATAATTTAAATATTTAAATAATTTAAATAATTTAAATCCTGGGGGAGGGTCCCGGGGCCCCGGAACCCCCCCCAGACCCCCTCCCCAGGATTTAAATTATTTAAATTATTTAAATTATTTAAATTATTTAAATTATTTAAATTATTTAAATTATTTAATTCCCGGCCCCAATTAAATAATTTAAATAATTTAAAATTTAAATAATTTAAATCCTGGGGGAGGGTCCCGGGGCCCCGGAACCCCCCCCAGACCCCCTCCCCAGGATTTAAATTATTATTTAAATTATTTAAATTATTTAATTCGGGCCCGGGACCATCCACCGAACAGACCCAGGATATAATCGCCATCTGCCTGTCTATATTAAATACTATAGGCGTGAAAACCCACAGTTTCAGCTGGCGATAATACCCCATTTAAGCCGCACACGGGGGGGGGGTGCGTGGCGGAGGGGGCTGGGGCGCAAGGCGTGCAGAGGGGGGGTTGGGTGGTGGGTGGTTGAGCGGGGAGAGAGACGGTGGGGGGCGGAGGACGGGGAGGGGTGGTTTTCACATAAACACCCGAGGAATTTACATGTCTTATGATGTTTTTATGATATTTTAAAATCTTTTTATGATTTTTTATACTCCCGAAAGCACCCCGACCCCCCTTTGCCCCTGGCCGCAGCCACCGTCCCAGCCCAGGCCCCCCCACCCGCTCCCGGCCCCAGAGATCAACTTTAGAGCTTATAGACGCGTCATCGCCCTACCATGCGGGATGTCTAAACTTGGTTTGCACACAAACACGACCACTTGTTTAAAACGCTCTAGCTTCAGTACATGGGGGAGTGGGGATGCTTAAAGAGTATATAATCATGGCTTGTGTGTAGCGCTGTCGTGCTTGAACATGTTCAGAAAGGAAGCCGTGTTTCCCAAACAGCCTGCAAAAGGAGCTTCGTGCTGAGCCAATCAATGCACAGATGATATGAGCTGGATGCGGGCTCACGTGATCTCACGTGTCTAGTCATAAGAACAAGACAATCATGTCAGAGAAGCTGCGCGAATGAGATAATCTGAAGTGGCGAGCTTGAGAGGAGTTTATGTGGTTCCGATTCGAGAGAAAGACCATTCCTACAGCATCCTACAGCCACACATTAGAGCAAGGTTGAAGCTGCGCTGCTGACATAATTTTGGGTCTACTGCTGGAAAGCTGTCGGGCAGGCCTTGTCGAGCTCATGCCTTTTCCACGCGTTCCATGTCGTGACATACCTGAGCCGAAGCACCATGCCAATGGCTCAGTGACGCCGGCCGGACCATGTCAGGACAAGTGAAGGCTGAAGCTTGCGAGGCATCACACGCAAATCTGCGATTTTGCCGACAGTTGCCGACATGTCAATGTAAATGGAAGGCTAAGCTACATCTACAGAGAGAATTTCCATAGCCAGAACTCCTCGTCCACATGAGAGTGGCGCTGTACACTTAAGCTTCAAAAGCGCGGCGGAACAACGAGGCAAAATTGTCTGATGCACTACGAAACTGGCCGGGCCATATCCTTTGAATGGTGAGCCGTGCAGGTTGCCACAGTGCCTTCATGACTCATGGTGAACATGCGCGCGAGGCCGATCAGCCTCTCACTGATAGATGAACCGAATTATTGAAATCAATTCAAATCACTAGTACCGGCTCCGACTTATCGAAGTGTGGCCTCGCCCTACCAGGCCCCAAAGTAAGTTCGGAGGGGCTTGGCAGCCTGTGTGGAGATGGCCAAGCCCTTGAAGCCTTTTTCCTTCAACGCTGCTTGCGCTGCTGCAAGCCGCGCGATGGGCAAACGATACGGGGAGCAACTCACATAGCCGATGCCAAGCTTCTGGCAAGACTCGATGGAAGATGGATCACCACCCTGCTCGCCGCAGATGCCAATCTCCATGCCGGGACGCGTCTTCCGCCCTCGCTCCACGGCCAAGCTAATGAGCTCCCCGACGCCCTCCTCATCAAGCCTGACAAAGGGATCCTCTTCCATCACGCCTTTGGACTTGTAGGTGCTCATGAAGTTCCCGACATCATCTCGACTCAGCCCATACGTTGTCTGGGTCAGGTCGTTGGTGCCGAAGCTGAAGAACTCGGCTTCCTCTGCTATCCGTCCTGCTAGCAAGCACGCCCGAGGCAACTCGATCATGCTCCCAACCCCGTACTGGAGCTTCACATTTTCCTCCACCTGGATGGCCTTTGCCGTCGCGTCAACAATCTTTTTGATCGCCTTAAACTCTTGCAAAGATGCGACAAGAGGGACCATGACCTCGATCTTGGGCGAGCAGTTCTTCACCTGCGCAGCAGCTCCAAAGATGGCTCGCGCCTGCATCTCGCAGATCTCCGGGTAGGTGATGCCCAAGCGGCAGCCTCGGTGCCCGAGCATCGGATCGTACTCCTTGAGCTCATCAGCACGGCGCTTCACTCGCTCCCGCGGCAATCCAGCCGCCCTAGCCACGGCGGCCAGCTCGGAATCGGTGTGTGGCAGGAACTCATGCAGAGGAGGGTCCAGCAACCGGATGGTGACTGGAAGCCCGCTCATGATCTCAAAGAGCTCTACCATGTCCTCCCGCTGCATGAAGAGCAGTTTGTGCAGGGCCTCTTTACGCTCCCGTTCATCCGAGGCCAAGATCATCTGCCGCATGGCGACAATGCGCCGCCCGCCAAAGAACATGTGCTCCGTCCGGACGAGGCCCAAGCCTTCGGCGCCGAACTCCTTGGCTTGCCGGGTGTCTGCGATGGTCTCCGCATTGGCACGGACCTGCATGCTACGGAATTCGTCGGTCCACTTCATGAGTGTCTGGAACTGCTTTCCCAGCACTGTGGATGTGGGTGGCAGGGTCGGTACCTCTCCGAGCATCACCTCGCCTGTGGCACCATCGATGCTGAGCCTCTCGCCCTCCTTCACCACAACATCGCCAACCCGCAACGTCCTCGAGGCCAAGTCCACTGCACCGGCATCGGCACCCGAGCTCCGCCCAGCGCCCACGATGCACGGACGGCCCATTCCACGGGCCACCACAGCAGCATGGCTCGTGATGCCGCCGGTCATCGTCAGCACACCGGCTGCGGCGTGAATCCCGTGGATGTCATCAGGGCTTGTCTCGCTTCGCACGAGGATGACTTGCTCCCCGTCATTGGCCCGACGCAAGGCCTGTGCAGAGAGGCAAGAAAAGCATACACACAACCCATGAGGCTCGTTTGAGTCTGTCATGTCTTGACGACTGGATCCACGGCTACCCTCCGAGACTGCATTTCGCGCCTCGTCAGCACAGAAGACGGCTTTTCCAGCTGCAGCGCCGGGCGATGCGGGCAGACCCTGTCGATGAAACAGCCAATGAAAGCCCGCTCTAGACTGTGGAGGCTGGTCAAACACAAGGGCACAGGGGGAATGATGGAGTCGCACAGCGCACACCGCTCTCATGGTTACTACACACCTTCTCTTACCGTCACCGTGCCTTGGTGATCACCGTCTTATTCGCAGTGGGGTCGATTGTGGGGTGGAGCAAGTGCTCCAGCAGCTGCGGCTTCAGGCGCATGATGGCCTCCTCCTTGGAGATGAAGCCTGGCAATAGCGAAGCAGGATGCACGTTAGAGGTTCTGCACAGAAGATGCATTGTGGCTGTTATAGTATGTTCGTCTCAACCCGGAACCCCCGCACCTTCACTGGCCATGTCGACGGCGATCCGGATTGCTGCAGGTGTGGTCCTCTTGCCCGAGCGGGTCTGCAACATGAACAGCTTGCCCTTCTGAATTGTGAACTCGATCTCGTGCATGTCCCGGTAGTGCTTCTCGAGCTGCTCTCGTACAGCCACGAGCTCCCGGAACATGTTGGGCATGAGTTCTTCCAAAAAGGAAGCTCACTACCATGAACCAGTCGAGCTTGCAGGGTGAGCTCGCGTGGCGTACGGATACCGGCCACCATATCCTCACCCTGAGCATTGACAAGGAACTCCCCATAGAAGTGGTTGTCCCCAGTGGCAGGATTTCTAGTGAAGGCTACACCCGTGGCACAATCGTTGCCCATGTTCCTAAAGACCATGGCCTGAACATTCACCGCAGTGCCCCACTTGTCTGGGATGCCATGCAGTTCCCGGTAGGTCTTGGCCCGGGGATTGGACCATGACTTGAAAACCGCGCTCACCGCTCCCCAAAGCTGCTCCAAAGGATCTGTTGGAAACTCATGGCCAAGCTGCACGAAAATCCGGGTCTTGTAGTCTCGCACAAGCTTCTCCAAGTCCTCTTCCTCGAGCTCGTAGTCGTGTTTCACTCCGCGGCGTTTCTTTGTTCGTCCCAGGATCTCTTCAAAGTTCACGTCGAGACCGAGCACCACATCGGCATACATCTGAATGAAACGCCTGTAGGTGTCCAAAGCAAAACGGGCATCGCCATATTTCTCTGACATGGCTTCCACCGTCTTGGAGTTTAAGCCAACATTCAAGACCGTGTCCATCATGCCAGGCATTGACGGTGGAGCGCCTGAGCGCACGGCCACCAGAAGCGGGTTCGTGGAATCACCGAACTTCAGGCCTGTTCGCTTTTCCACAAGTGTCAAGGCACTCAACACCTCTTCCTTGAGGGAGTCTGGAAAGGCCCCGTTCTGCTCAAAGTAGCTGCAAACCTCCGTTGTCAACGTGAAGCCAGCAGGCACCGGCAAACCAATGGAGGCCATCTCGGCCAGATTGGCCCCCTTGTTTCCGAGCAGGTCCTTCTTGTCAGCTCCTCCTTCCTCTCCCGGCCCGAAGTTGTGGACCCATCGCGGCATGTCTTTCTCCCACAGCTTTGCGGGTCTTGTAGCCGTCTCACCCTTGTGGTGTAAATACAAGCCCAACTGCAGCGAAGAAAGGCGACTCTCCTAGTACGTAACTGCAGGGCTTGATTTTGGACATGCAGTCTGAAAGCAGATTGGGTTCCTGGCACTTTCGACTTCCGTCACGACCTGCTAGCCTCAGAGTGCAGCGTTCAACAACCCAATGCGTGAAATTGTGTCCGGGAAAGGAATCAGGGCATGCATTTAGGTTACAATGATAGCTCCTTTTCCTCGAAACAGCTCCACACGCCTTCGGGGGGATAATGCAGAGACACATAATGAAGGGTCTAGGGGTCAAAACCTCATTGCAGCCACCAGGAAAATCAATGATAGGGCTTGACATCTCGTTGTCATGCCATGAGGTTCGAATTCCGTACGCAAAGAAATGGTAGCTACAGCAGCTGCAAATCCATGCGGTGCAAAGCAACCCTTGTCACAGTCACTGTTACGCTCCTAGATCGGACCTCTCAAGACAATCTGCATACTGATGATCTGAAACCTGTGCAGATAAGCTTCAAGGCCATCGGTGCAGCTGGGACATGCGGCAAGTGACTCATAGTGGCCATAGCGCACTGTGAATGCTGCGACGGGCGAAACTCAAGCTTTATGTTGCTCAGGTCGCAGTATACAGCGGTCGTCTCAAGCGAAAAGAGCTATGCACCAGGTAATGCAAAAAAGTGCTATGCACGATGTGCCCGACAACCGTCCTTTCTTTAATGGCCCATTGGCTCCTGCATGGCTGGCTTGGCCTGGCTCCGCGAGTTTTCGCTGAGTGGGTGCAGCAAATGGCAGCGAGAAATGACACCTTTCCAAAGGGATCGTGCGTCACGTTGTGAGGGCTTATAAGGGTCTTGGTCCTGGCATGCTCAAGGGAGACTGTGACCTGCATGTAGCTCTGTTTGTCTCGTCAACCTCGTCGCAGCTAGGTCTTTCAGAATTTGGGCCCGCCTGGTCATGGACAGGCACCGAAGACTCAGTCTAGACATCCCAAGAAGGGGAGGGTGGCAGATTGAGGACGTGGGCCTCTGGTGCCAGGAACGGAGTCGAATCTGGGATCCCCGGGATCCCTAGGCCCGGACACTCAAGGTCCGACTTCTCAAACCAACTCCCGCTCAGAGCCATTTAACATTCAGCGTTTAGGGCCCAGGGGCGAAGGCGTCACTGAACATAGCTGGACTTGTACTAGATTCATCCCCTATCAGCAGCACTGGCACCGTCCAGAACTTGGAAATGCAGCCGCTTGCGTTGATAATTCAAAGGTATGGGGGCGAACTGACTCTTCGCCTGCGCCATGAAGTGTGTTCACGGCGCAGGTGCCAAGGATCACCGACAACGTTCACCTCTGAAAAGCCTAGTCGGAGATGTGCTGGGCTCAGATGCTAAAGTTGCATCGTGTTGCAGCGTTGACTGCAGCCTGAGCCAAGCTGACGGTGCGGCCGTGTTCCCACGACCTGTCTTGATAAAATGTCCTCCTGCGACTAAGGGCTGTCTCAACAACAAATGTGGCAGTCTTCCTGCTCTGAGTTTAACTCATGGCAGCAAAACCGACAAACAAACAGGGCATGCTCTCTCTGTGCGGACATCAACACACATCACCAGTCATCCTAAACTCTCGCAAACTGGGTGCCTGTGCTTATCGCCAACATGACTTCCCCGCAAGAAACTCTCCCGAAGCTCGTTCACATATCATGTTCTGATGCATCGATGTACGTGCCCCAGAATTCAGCTGCCCGGCAAGGAAACAATCCAAGCTGCACCCAGCTATCTCGCCGGTTCCCATAGGGATGCGAGTGCCACCAGGTGGGCTTGGAACTTAACACTTCAAGGAAGGGTTTCGGGATGATTCAAGCAAGAAAAGATCGCTATTCCAGGACGACCGGCTGCGCGTTGTCGCAGCAAAGGCCGGTGTCTTTGAAAAAGTGCAAGACTCCGACAGACCCGGAAGAGTACCTGGGGCCTCTCTGCCTGATTTCCAAGAGTCTGCACTGGAGCAATGCAACAGGACCAGCGTGCGATTCCATATCCACTAACTAATGAACTGGTCACTAACTCGACAATTGTGCTTGAAATGTCTACCTTGTTCTCCTCCGACCCTTTTGATCAGGCATAAATAAATGGCAAAAGAACCAAGGTGCAAATGATGAATTGGGCGCACACGGGCTTCAGGACGCGCTTCACGATCATGCCCTCCGGCACCTGCACACAGCAATCTGTCTTGTCATTTTATGTCACTGTGTTGTGTTGGGTACCAGGCTCCATGGGGTCATTCGCACTAGGTGTAAGGGTCATGGACGCATTTCGACAAGCAGTGCCAGACAATTGATCAAGAAAGCTGCTATGCCACACCCAACGGCTGCTGGAACCTGTGCCAGCCACTCCGGACTCCAGACCTTCAACCACCAACAAACTCCAATCGCCAGGTGTCGCCCAGCCTAACTTTTCAAAAAGAGCCCCTGAACACATCCTACTGCCGCTTCACAATGCTTTCCCCAATGTTTTCCTGGACCTGGAGGCCGATCACCGCAGTGGCTGCGATGATGTTGGAGAGGCAAAAAGCATTCCTAGACAGGCTCTCAAGAATGACCCTTCCAATGACTCTTCTGCTTGTGCCGTGGCTGTGAATTCATGACCAAAACGGACTTCTGCCCGAGCTTTCGGGAAATGCAAGTCTCCGTAGGCCTGCATTTTTTGGCATTCCCGCGGTTCAGCTTAAAAGCGCAGTTTCAGTGCCATTGCGCATTCATGTGACGTAGTGCGACAGTTTTCCACAGCTGTGATGTGACACGCCAAAATCGAAAAGTGACACACACACACACACACACACTGACACTGGCTAGGCACGAACTCATGCGAAGAAAAACAGACAGGACAAACGAGACTTTGACAGACTGCAACAGGTCGTCGTCATGGGCTAGGTTTCTGGCCCAGAATGGGATGGGCTTCGGTCCCTCATTCCAGACCCAAGGAATGGAATGTGTCGAGGGATTAGGGTCCCGTCCCTCCGCGTCGTCGTCGTGTCAGACACAAGGAATGCCATATGCCGCATTATGCCGCTGTCTGTCAAGTGCAATGCTGGCAGCAACATGTAACACGTTGCGCGGATATGGGTTTTGTCCCCGTTGAGGAAACCAGCTGCGGACTTAGCTACCCAGGTACTCCCTGTACGTTTACACGTCTGCTACTCATGGTCTTCGTTGGCCCCAGCATGAGTAGCAGACCTGGGACCCCCTGCACTGACACGAAAGCTGCGGAAATTGCTACGCCTTGCAGTCGGCATGTCCAGGCGTTTACGCACACACAAGCTGTGGGAGAACCAGGGCTATCTCAGATGCAAACATGTGTTTGCATTGCCGATTGCACTGCGGTGCGCATGGTGCGCTTGTTTCCTCGCAGGGAAACAAAATGAGTGCAAGCAGTTCGGGCCTGTGATTCTTCGATCGGTTTCCACAGGCAACTTATGTTTCAAACATTCAACCAGATGTTGTGCAAGTCCTTTAACCGCCAGATCCTTGGCCTGTGAAGTTTGGCTCTGGACTGCATGGTTGGTAGCAGCTGCATCAATGTCTACTGCTTGATTGCGAATCTGGGTGAGAAGCTCACCGACAAGTTAGCACCATTTCGGGCTTGGCTCTGGAAACCACAAAGTAGACTTCCTTGCCTTGAGCAATCCATCTTTGCCAGTAGCTGTTCCATCCCTGGTACAAGAAATGTGAAGGATGCAAACTGGCAACAGGAATGCCAGCGATCCCTCGTTCTCTGGCCCAAGCTGATGACATGACATGTTTGGGGCAAGACAAGTTGCCGATGCTGCGTCGGAGCTGAAGATAACCGGTATCCTCGACCCAATCTTCAGGAATGGGCAAAGACACAGGAGGGAGAGGGGTATGAACGTTGCCGGCGGATGAGGCGCAGGGATCAGGCTGCAGAGGCCGAGTATGGCCCCCAGGAGTGATGCCTGGTGTGGCAACTAGATTTTCAACTCTCGTTCCACAGCCTGGCGAACTGTGCCCAAGTCCATATCTCCCACTGCGGCTTGGCAATGGAAGCAGGTGTGATGGGAAGTCTGCATCGCAGCCGGCTCCCAGGCCTGAGCCCGGCACTGTAGGCCTGACGAGCATTTTCCAAAAAATTGCCGTTGCAGTGCTTATGTCCGCGCCGTGGCAGAAAACACAGGGTAGTAGTGGGTGGCCCCAAACACTGGTGTTTGGAGTGTCTGCGATGGTGCAACGATGCACTGGTATGCATCCGACATTTCAAAAGTGCGGATCGCCTGCAACTGTAATGCACTTCCAGTTATTCCCGAAGCAAGGCAAAGATGAGCAAGTTCTTTGGCTAGGGAGGTCGGCATGGACGGCTCAGAAACAGCAAACTCATATGCAAGCTCTTGGGACTGGTCCACGTCCACGGCGAAGAGCTGTGGTTTCTCATGCAGCAGCAGCTCTGCCGCTGCGTTCGCTCGGCTGTGGGAAGTCTTTAAGGGTTAGGGTGGTAAGGGCATGTAAGGGTTAGCCACAGATCTTAGTAAAGATCAACGCAGGCCCCTGAAAACAACCCGGCATACCTGAAAGGGTTGGCTCAGCAGCCGCCTCTCGTCTTTTGGCCGACCAAGCCTCATGATACCCCTGGCGGCGGTTGCGAAGGTGCTGCGAATCCCCTGCCGGGGTTTGCGGTTGCTTCCGGTCAAAACGTGGCACAGGCGGAACGGGAAGCCGTGGAAAAAGGTGCTGAGGTGCCGGTGCCTGGCAACCCATGTTGCCCCAGGAGTGCATGCTGGCATTCCATGGTCCAGGTCCGCAAAGGCTCGGAGGTGGTCCCTGAAGCCAACTTGGGTGCACGGGGGGAGGCTGCACCGGCGGAGGCATTGTTGTAGGTGCCGTGTCACCAGGTCCAAGCACAAGGATGAGCCTAGCTTCGGCTGCGTCGGTGCAGTGATGGGCCGGCAGATGACGCCGGTACCTGTCCCGATCCTCAGACAGGGAGCGCCTTGAAGCCTTCGGGGGTGACCTGCTATCCATATGATCGCGCTTCCCATCAGGAGAAGCATGCCGGGGCTTCGTGCTTCTGGAGCCTCGGTGTTTGGCCGGCTGCTTAGTGCGACGCGTGTCCTTCTGATGGGAGGACTGCGCTTTGGCCTTCTCCAGTTTTCGCAATTTGCGTCGCAAGGTGTCGGTGGAGGTAGAACTATGAGAGGACGAGGATGAGGAAGAATAAGACATCTTCTTTTTCTTGGGCTTCTCCATGGGCAAGCTGCTCACAAGCATTGGAGCATAGGGCGTAGGAGGTGGCAAGGCTGCAAAAGAGGGCGCGCAGGGCCCGATGCGTTGTCCCGTACGGGAGTCGATGAGCATCCTATGCACAGATTAGGAAAGCAGCGTAAGCACTTGAAAGCTGAAATCTACATGTGCTGTAAGCAGTCCAAGAATCCATAAAGCCACCTCATGCGTCGGGCCTATGGGAACAGATCCCTGAAACATTCTACGACACTGGCAGGCTCAACCACTTGCGCACTCACTGCCTGAATCCTGCGTGAGTCGCGTTGCCTAGGCCCATCACCAGCAACCCTCTGAAAGAGCAGTCAGTGGCAAACGAGCGTCTGAGAGATTCACTTGCAAACGCCAGTCCGAGGTGAACGTAGTGAAAGGCATCAGTCAACTCAAGAAAATGAACCTATAACACATGATGATGATTGCACAATGACATTCAGCCTGCAGCATTAGAGCTGTCATCCGCGAATGCGGGCTTGGGCGTTCGCCCACTCTGATCTGGCCCCAAATTCGGGCAAACCAGAACGACACACACTTTGGCTCGGCACGAACTGATGCTGCGGAAGACAGACAAGACCAGACAAAACAACACAGATTGCAGTAACCGTGCAGTTTCACTGGAGGCCAACGGTGGTACCAACAGCAGTCTTTTCGGGTACTTTGGGCGGCTTTTGTCCGGGTACGTCCAGCGGCCTCCCGTTGGATATCACCAGCTCTTGTTCAGTGTATTCGTTGGTGCAAGACTGAGCGAGCAATTCTCAGCAGCACTTGAATACTTTGAAAGGCTCAGTCGGACAGCATGTACAGTCGTGCACACACACACACACCCACCCACCCACCCACCCACCCACCCACGCACGCACGCACGCACAGACAGACACACAGAGACACAGAGACACAGACAGACACACACAGACAGACGCACACAGACAGACACACACACAGACAGACACACACAAACAGACACACACAGACAGACACACACACACACACACAGACACACACAGACAGACACACACACAGACAGACACACACACAGACAGACACACACACAGACAGACACACACACAGACAGACACACACACAGACAGACACACACACAGACAGACACAGACACACAGACAGACACAGACACAGACAGACACACACACAGAGACACACACACACAGACAGACACACACAGACACAGAGACACAGACAGACACACACAGACAGACACACACACACACACAGACACACACACACACACATACACAGAGACAGACAGACAGAGACAGACAGACAGACACAGACAAGACACAGACAGACACAGACAGACACAGACAGACACAGACAGACACAGGCAACACAGACAACACAAACAACACAAACAACACAGACACAACACACACACACACACACACACACACACCGGCGAGTACAGCTCTTCCTACAGGCAGGTATATCCAAATGTCTCCGACCCTGAAACACAGAAACGCAAAGTCAAAATTCGCAATCTCCCTGTCAATCTTTATCTGGGCTCCCGCTGGAGGCACCACATAGCTGCAGACCTTGTCTGGGCACTTCAAGTTTCAGAAGGTTCAGGGCTTTAAGGTCAGTCATGTCGCTGGCTTCTGGGTTCAGGACAGTTCACGGTCCGGATGTTCAACTTGAAAATGTCCGCATGCAGCGGGGTCTAATGTACCAAGTCCAGGGTCTGGGTCGGTTCTTTGTGCTTCGGGCTCCACGCGGCTCGTGCGGTGGAGTGCTGTCAGCTGAAGCTATAGGCTATAGACTATGCTATGCAGTCAACTCTGGAAGACAGGCTTTGCGGAGTCTACAAGCTATGGTTTCCACGACTTGTGGCAATCGCCATTGCCGTCTGGAGGGCCGATCAATCCGGTCGGGGAGATGCCGAGAGTGTCCGCAGCGACCTCTCTTGTGCGGCTGGGGAAACGGAAAGACTGACTTGCGAAACAAGAAAAGGCTACACACTTTTGCTGCCCATTCTGCGTTATGATCGTTCTGCCATTCGGAACCTTCAATGCCAATACGACATTCTACAACTCTGGTCTGAACCGATTGGCCACCTCAGCCAGACACCACCCAGGTGCAGGGAACCCCGCCTTCTGCACCTGAGTGAAGGTCAGGTTGCTCACTGTCGTCGAGCCCGAGAAGAAGGAGCCCAGCGCCCCCAAGGGAAACGCGAGGGCCACGAACCTCAGACACCAGCTTGCTGCACTCATCCTAGTGTCCTAGTGGCGACGCCATGGTTCGAATTTTAGGACATGGCTGAACACTGCAAGGATCAAAAGTGCGTCCACTAAGAGCTGCTGCGCTGCCCGTGCGACAGTGTCTCTGACAAGCGTGTCCCGATGATGGCAGCCGGGGCATCCTCAAAACAAGGCGTGACATTCTACTTGTGGAGCAACAAACGACGACAAAGAGATCTGCTCGACGAAGCGTGGCATGGTCGAACAGGCAACTTATCACCCGAGATGTAGAAAGAGCTCCTGCGCCGACTTAGCTTTAACCTGGTTTCTGAAGCCTCAGACCTTCGAAGGACACACCTGCCCGGCCCCGCCCTAGTCCAGCCCTTCCGGGAGCTGCCCATGCAAGAACGATGTCATACGTACCTCAGAGGTCCGACATCAAGTCGCGCCAGTCCTTGAGAGCATCGCTGGTCCGAAGCAGCTCCACCAACATCAAGGCACCACTCCTCAGGTGAAGGGACAAAGCTCGAAAAGCACGGCCCAGTCGCATTGTTTGAGCGAGCCGCCCGGACAACCCAGAATCGAAAAACACAGGGTATCGAGGACAGGGAAACGTAATGCCGGGGAGATTGAGCATCGAGTGGACGACACCCAGGCCGGTAACTTTCAGAGCTGCACAAGCCAGGCAGCATCGACAAACAACAAATCACAAGCCGTAAAACAGCTTCGCATGCGAGCCCTGTGAGCACTCGACTGCCGCCAAAATCATGTGAACCTGCAAAAGCACCCATTTCAACTGCAGCTTACCAATCTGCATGTACAGAACAAACCAAGCTGTCGTGGGCAGGGGCCTGGCTTTCCCTAGCCCGAACCACTGTCTCTTCCAAATCCCGACTGTCCAGGATTTTTAAAGATTTTGGCCCATCACGTAATCCGTAATCCTCAAGCAGGCACCTGTATCTATGGCCGAACTTTTGCCCAGCTGCAAAGCCACGGCCGGGCCTTTGATGCGTTGCGCCACACCAGCGATGATCGTCCCCGGCGAGGTTTCTAGCTCCTATCAGCAGAAGTGGTCCTGCCTAGCCTTGGAGCCTAGATACCTTCCCTGAACATTCCCTGAATGTTATGCAAGACCAGCCCTTGTCTCCCTCTCGCATGGCTAGGATCGATGCCTACAAGCGAGTTTTCACAGAATTCAATTGGGCTTGCAAACCTGCATCGGAATGCTGTAATCACGACTCAGAGCGTTCATAACCTAAGGAGACAAGAAGAAAAGGTGCACCCTTCGCACCAATCTACGTCCACTGGTCTTCACAGACCACACTGCATTTCGCAGGCTGTCAACATGCAACGTATCATCTCTCAACTAAAAACACTTTTTTGCCACAACACTAAGGCTTCATATGAAACTTACAGACCTGCAGAGTTTTTTGCGTGCTTCAGTCATGTTTCGGTCGCTTAGAGTCTCAGAGGTGGGGTGGGAGTTTGCACACTACATTACACGATTTCCGAAGTGATGAACCGTTGCAGCCGGGAACCCGCAGAGCCTTTCGGAAGACCAGGAGCGAAGCGCAGCCCGCGGCCACGAAGGGCAGCAGGAAGGGTATGTAGAGGAGCCTGGTCTTGGAACGTTTTGGCGCCGTGACTGCATTGCATGCGAATCCAAGCCGCTCGTAGGTCCAGCCCAGGTTGGTCCCCAAGATCCTCTGCTGAAAGATCTGGAGAGTGTAAGGCTGATTTCTCGCCAAGTAAAACGTTTTTACACAAGTTTTCGCACGTCGCGTCATGTTCGGACACAGCATTAACCCAAACACCTACAGAAACATGTTGATCCCGAGGGTCTAAACTGGACCCACGCACATGCTAAACGGGTCCTGGGGGCCGCTGTCGGTTAATTGGATGGAGTCTCAACACCCCCCACAGGATGATAGTTGGCAAACCTTAAACACGAAAGAGGGTAATAGACTCCATGTATTCCAAATTCCAAATTCTGACACGAGATTGTAGATGGCAAATGGAGAAACTAAGCCTTGACTGCAAGATGATGGATCCCTGTTCGCTCTAGACTGCCCAAAGCATCCCCAAGGTCTATTGAGATGTGATGGATGACAAATCCGAAACTTTGAGCCTTAAAGAAGGTGATGGGTGGCATACCCTTTAAAGTTAAAGCCTGAATGAGGGGACTGGGCCTTCGTGCCGCGGAAAACCAAGGAGCAACTGAACAAAAACGAGGAGTGTGATGGATGGCAAACCCTGGAACCTAAACGCCCTCCCAGACCCCAACTCGTGATGTTAGATCTCAACCCACATCTCTAAAGAGTGCACACTCCGAGACCCGAAAACAAATCATGACACCCTCAAGTCCCAGCCCTTAAACTGAATCTTAACATGAGATGTTAGGTCGCAAGCTCTTCAGGCCCAAGCTAGTAGAGCAAGTTCTTAACGCTAACTGGGGTGACGGGGTTACCGGCCTTCCACACTCGAACAAGAAGTGCCGACAACAGCAATCCAGACGAACACCAAAATTTCGGCACAGTATGATGGAAGGAGACAAGGGTGACCGGCCCAAACTTGCGGGAGATGTAGGAGGTTTCAACAACACCTCAGACCCAAATCCGGAGGGGATATGACACAAGGCAGATCTGGCAAACCCAAAGACCTAATCTAAACCTCAGCATAATGTGATGAAACTGCTGAAATGAGAAAGTTACCATGGAGCATCTGGACAGCGCTGAATCTCGCCCAGAAGCATCCCCGAACCTAGCAAAACACATCTAACCTTAAAACAACAGCTCAACAGGAGATGATGCGTGGCAAACCCCAAGCCCAATAAAACATGACTGGGCCCCCAAGACTTTAAGCTCCAATGAAGGGGATATGATGCACGGCAAAACCAAGTTGTTTACCAGTTTTTTGACTTGATCGCAGAAACCCCAAACTCTTGCACCAGCTGTTGGCCCAAAGCAGATTAGGAAATGACGGGTGGGAAGTCCAAACTGCTTAAACTACCTATTGCCACAAAGAAGCTTGACAGGGCTGCATGATGCCCAAAACATTGCCAACCCTATCCCTAGCTATTCACCCTTAACTTCTTCAACACGGGATGATGGGTGGCAAGCCCCAAACCGTTTCAAGAATGACTGGATCCCAAACACTTTTTTTGCGCTCGCACTCGACAACGTCAGGCGAGGTTTACGGCAACAAACAGGCACACTGTTTAGAGCAAAGCGCATTACTCTAGCCATGCAGCAAGCATTGTCGGCGACTACACTTACAAAACTCAAGGTCCTCATCATTTAGCACATGCCTACACATCTGCTGGCGGCCTACATAGCAATCTATCTGTTAGCCTGTGATAATGCTCGTTTTGATCTTCAGATACGACTTAGAGGTTGTTCATAAGAGCACCGGCATATAAGGCATATACATACAACGTGGCTTATATATATATATAACACGGATACAGATGCTAGCGATGTTAGACATGCATATATGTTGCACATACATGCATGCATGCACGGAACATCTCGTAAGCAGTAGTGCTTGATGGCTTTAACTGTTCTGATCTTGAGATATTTTCTGGACTTGCCAGTGATAGATGTGAACAAGTTTTTGCTTGCATCTTCCTTCACGTTCGCGCCCTGGGTTTCCACGGCGGTTTGTTCGCGGGCCAGAATGGGGCAGACCAGGCTCAAATGGCTCTAGGCCGGTGGCCCTGGGAAAAGGCAAAAAGGGAAACGTTTAGGTTCTTTTGATCCTTGTAAAACTTTCGACACCCGGGCCCTGTGGCCTGGTGGTGCCTAGGCTTAGACCCTCAAGGTCCCTCTATAGCCCTCGGGTCGCACCCTTTACTCTTACAGGCTTTGCGCAGCAGGAAAACACCTTCATAGAAGCTTGCAGGAAGATACTCCTCAGTGCCGCTTGCAGGTAGCTCTTGAATTATCAAGTGCCTGTCGTCGGTCCTGTGGTGCATCTTCTTCTGTATGCACACATGCAAGTGACGACTACGCGAATAAGAAAGCCTCGGCTATATATAAGACCAGGGTTTGTCAATGTCGACGTGCCGGAAACCAGAAAGGGATTAAATGAAATAGCTTGAACGTGGCCCTCGGCTTTCTGCCGAAGCGTCTGGGTCAGCGAGAATCGCCCGACGACCGAGATGCGCAAGTGGCCTGACATGTTAAGACCAACGGAAACTGGGGTAAGCTTCGATTCTGAAGAGGACCCGGACGGGAAAGTCTGTACATGTTGAACCATCGCAGCAAGCTCAGAGGAGAACACCCCGAGACATCCGGACACCCGAAACTGCTGCGATTGCAAAGTTAAGCTCCAGGCCCAAAGTACCGAGGGAGCCGTTCACAATCTCCGGCCTGAGGAGTGGCTTCGGGTTTCGGGTTGAAGCGCCGGTCTGGGGGCCCCCATTTTTCAGCGTGGGAGCTCATCCTCGCGCAAGAGCGACTTGAGGCCGATCGGTTCGATCCTGGGAAGAGCCCAGCGCTGGTTCCGGCTCGGCCCAAAAACCCGAACAGAGAACTGTCCTGGTCAAGATCAGGAGAAGGACAGTGAGCCAAAGTGGCATCGTCCGGAACACACAGTCGAACCTGGGCGGATTGCAAGCTCACATGGGCTCAAGCGGTAAGCGCTGCTTGGGAATAGCAAGCGTCGGGACTTGCAGAGGTGCCTTGCAGTAGCTGCCTAGCTAGGGCAAGCGGTCAGGCTGAATGAAGCACACAGGAACTCGCATTTGCTGCCCACCAGATTATAATGCCGCAAAATCTTCCAGCAAACCCCACACCGCGAGTGAACCCAAAGTCAAAGCACACGGTGACGTTGTTGTGAAAGTGCTCTGCGTGGGAATCGTCCACCTTCACGGTCAGCTGTTGCGGAATATCCTCTTCCTGCTATTCGGCAAGTTGACGAGCTTGCTGCAGGGCAGGCTTTGAGGGTTCAAAGCTTTCGAGCTCCGGCACATTCCGGCACATGCGGCCGCAATAGAAATGGTAAACGTCGTAGTGGCGTTGGTACTGCACAAGAGGTAAAGAAGAGCAGTGTCATCGATACTCGTGCAGAACGGTGACAGGTTGCTATGACTGCAGAGAAGAGTTGGTGAAGCAGGCTACGCTTCGTCGCTTCCGAAAGCACTCGAGCCAATGCTTTAACGCCTTTCAAGCCGGGTGGTTTTCAGCCCGTGGCTCGTGTTCTACGTCCTGGTTGATGGCCGCGACCACTTTCGCCGGTGCCACAGAAATACTCCGGTGCTCGGATAAATATCTCAGAGCCTTCGGGTCACGAGAAGAGGGGTGCATGCCAGCACTGTGCCAGGTAATCCTACTGTCATTGTTTGCTCTTGCGGTCTAGCCTACAGCTGCAGAGCTTCGGCCTTCTTCTGCAGGACCACCTCCCTGTGTATGGCCTTGTCTTTCAAACTTCGACAAGAGAAGTTGTTGGCCTGCGGCGAGAGAGAGTGTACAGAACTCATGATCCTGCATTTTCGTCACCTACGTGGTGACGAACTCCAACGACATGCGGGAGAGCCAAGCGACTCCAAACCAGAGAGGCGAAGGATCTGCGATTTGTGACTGTTTTGCAAGAAGAAATGCTGTCGAGCACGTAGCTCAAAATTCTTCTGCGCAGCTTCAGCAAATTTCTCCAACTGTCTCCCCCTCTCTCATGTTGCCAGGCCTTCAGCTGGTCGTCCTGGCTCTCGGACGGCACTTTGATCGTCCTTTGTGGGCCCCTCTACTGCCCATGTCACGGCAGTCTGTAATACCGTAATCCAAGGCATCCGGTCCTCTCTCTCTGTCTCTTCTTCGCCAAGGCATAAGGCATAAGGGGCTCTCTCTCTCTCTCTCTCTCTCTCTCTTTGCCGTTTGCCGTTGCATCCAGGGGGTTGTTGGGTGTAAATAACAATTGAGCAGATACCCGGTCAAAGGATACAGCTTAGGCCGGCCGTGGCCGGCCATGCTCGTTCCCCGCACAAGCCGTGTTTCTCACCCCACAGCTTCGCTACCCAGAATTCAAGTCTCGGGGTCACACCTAGCCCCATGTCCCTGGTAGAGCCAGCACACACCAGTGACTAGTAGCGACAGTGGCCTACCACATTGGGATGATTGAGCTGGCTTCTGGCCCCTTCTAAGCTGGGCAGTTTTTCGGAGGGGCTCTCATCTATTCGCGAACATAGACGTGGACCATCGTGGAATGCCTGGGCACAAAGTTGCCCTGTCTAGTCTAGTCTTTGCTCTTCGCCGGTGGAGCTCTGCTTCCTTACTCTGGTGAAACTCTTTTCTTCTCCCTGTCTGCTCGCCTGATCCCCCTTCTAAGCTGGGCAGTTTTTCGGAGGGGCTCTCATCTATTCGCGAACATAGACGTGGACCATCGTGGAATGCCTGGGCACAAAGTTGCCCTGTCTAGTCTAGTCTTTGCTCTTCGCCGGTGGAGCTCTGCTTCCTTACTCTGGTGAAACTCTTTTCTTCTCCCTGTCTGCTCGCCTGATCCCACACTGAACCTCGCTCACACTCTGCCTTTGACCCAAGGCTGTGCCAGCGTGTTAGGAATGGCACACCACTCAGCGCAGCTGACCCAATCCTCTTGGCCGCCCATGTCCAAGTCACCAAGGTATGGTCTGATTGGTTGCTTGCAGTACATTTTCGAACGAGTTCTCACCCCCCATACTCTTCTTCCACTAGAAATCGAGAATCACCAGGAACTCGTGGCGATTTGAAAGGCGTCTGTGGGCTGTCTTCAAAGGATTCAAGGCCAGAACTTGGTTGTTCCAGTGATCTTGACTGCACAAGACAAAACAATGAAGCAACGTGCTGGAATGCGGCTTTCTGGCAGACACGATCCCTTCACCCTGAATGTAAAAGAAATCCGTAGTGTTACTTGGACATAGTTTCAAAATGACATTCGATAAACAAACCCATGCCACCAACTGTTCAAGCTGGCAGACCCGGAGACAAAGTGCACGCCCGCAGCTGGCGCCTCCAAGTCTATCAGGTCCTCCGGGCCGTTCCGTTCCCAACTTCCGGAGGCCCCAGCTGGCTCAACATGTAAGGCCTAGGGCCTAGTGACTGAGTGGCAAGCGAGGCAGAAACTGTCACGAGAATTCTCACTGGTACTGGGCATTTACTGGTCTGGTGGATGGAACCGCTATTTCTCAAGACCGTGTGTGGGGGTCCGCCGAATTGCCATTTAAGTTGACTCGTGAGGGCGGACTGGCGACCAGATTGTGTTTCGGGTTTTCATGTTAATCTGCTCTTGTCAAGCCCTTGGCTGTCCAGTCCTAGAAGCAAACCAGCTGAGGTTTGTTTGGTGTATGGCAATAACAAAGGACAGCAGCCGCTCTCCCGGGCAGTGGCTCCTTCAAAGTATTCTCCGGCTCCAAGACCTTCTCCTGAAAGGGGATGATAGAGCAGGTACTGAAAGCCGGGTGATGGTCTTATGATCGTAGCGATATTCCATCTGCGGCACTATGGGCCCATTGTCATTGCAATCATTGCACCTCTGCACGACCTCTACCCCCGCCAGGTCAAGGTGAAGCGATGCCAGGATCGCCACAGAGAAGCTGCTGGTTGGCACTCCCAGCTGCGTGGTAGTGCTGTGAGGCTATTGCTAGATATGCTGCACGAAACCGTCACAAGCCACAGCAAGAAGCAGAAGGCAAGATCTAAATCCTGAACGCGAAAGCCCGACATGAGCTCTGTCATGCTCGCAAAGAGCGAAATTACAACAGCACCAAAACGCAGTGCAAAAGGGACAGCTAACAAACAAACAACCTGAAGCAATGCAGCATTGCTCTCACCACACCACTGGCGGTTGCTAGCAGCGGGAACAATCACGACGCACGTCTCAAGATGAATAATGATGGACTCTTTGTCTGCAGCCCGCTTCGATTGCACCGAAGCCCTGCCCCCTGCACACTACGCCGAGAACTCCTGCTCCACGGGTTCCTCGTGTTCTTCCACGGCTTCGAGCACCGCAGCGGAAGATGGTACGGCGGCCTCCTACGACACTTCGGCATCAGTGTGAAGTCGAGGGTATTCGAATGATGCCGGTTCTCGTGCTGTTTCTGTCAGCAACTAGAACACATGAAGTGCAGGCGGAGGGCATCTTCAAATCCAGGTTCTTATCTCCAACTCAATCCCTGCCTAGTAAGGTTCGGCTCAGAAGAGTTTCAGGGCTAATGTCATTGGGCTCGAGGGTGTCACGTGAAGCTTCGGAGTGGCTTTCCTTGCGTTGAAAAGGAGCGTGCCGCTGGTCCGGTCCTTCGAGCTGGTCCGCTTCTCGTGTCGTTGATGGGGACCGAGGCCAATGCCTGCATTGTCACCGCTCGTGTTGGAAACTAAATGCCAAAGATGACCCCTTGGCTCTCACGTTCCCGTGCATACTTGTCTCCCCCGGCGCGGAACGACTTTGTACAACAAGTGGAGAGAGGGAGAGAGAGTCAAGGCAAAGGCAGGCCCAGAGAAAGAAATAGAGAGAAGCAAACGAAGAGAGTGCCCGAAGGGCAGAAGTTGAACGGCGGCCAGAGAACGGCCTGGTCTCCTCACGAAAGAGAAGACCAGCCGGACTTCAACTCGTGGAAGGGTCAATCAGATTTGTTCGTGCTGGGGATTCGATTGCGAACGGGGATGTTCAGAAGACCAGATGCTTCCGATGAATCGCTTGCCATGGCACCACGGAGCGTCAAGATTGTGGTCAAACATAGCCCCACGATTCCAGCGGCCAAGCTCGGAAACTCGTAGTTGAAGACAGACCTGAGACTTCTGACATTCCACTCTGGGCCTCCTAGCATGGCGACATGGGCCCCGACAGACTGCAAAAGGATCACCACAATGCAAACAACATGAGATCACCAGCCCCGGGGCAGTCCGATGAAGGGCACAACGACGCTCGCAGTGCTCAGCAACACGTACAACCTTGGCTGGTCGTTGTGGGGACCTTGTCCCAGCAAGACTTAGTCCACAAAAGTCAGCAAGAACCTAGAAAGGTAAGAAAAAGCCGAAGAAACAAGCTCGGCCGCAGCTCTGACCAGGGCACAATGATCTGGACTACGTAGGGCACCTGGCTTTTGCTTGGAGCTGTCTGGGGAGTGAGCTTGGAGCTTGGCTGTTGTTGTCCGGTCGATTTGCTCCTTGTCCGCAAAACCAATCCCCTGAACCATCACATACACCGCGTCCCGCCACTGCAACCAAAATGCGCTGCTAGAGTGTGTATGTGTGGCATTTCTAAGCAGCCATACAGATATATCAGAACTACGAGCCTTTAACATCCTTTCATCCTTTAGCCGAGGGGGCCAGGATGATAGCGCAAGTGCTCAGGGCGACAGCTGCACGAAAGCCCACCGCCATCAAGTTCTCGTCACCGAAGTCGGGCAGGACCTGGCGTTCAGGACATGTAAGAATAGAAAGCATCGAACTACCCGACTATCCATCAACGAAACGCTTGATTCGAACAGCCAATGCTTCATACAGCCCTCCTCAACACCTTCTGCGCTGAATGGCAACGTCTACGGAACTGAATCCGCCCTCTCGAACGAAAATTTCAAAAGCACTCGCAACCACAAACATAATTCATAATCCAACTCAACACATTGTGACTGTCACGCCTGCCTCTCCGATGCCGAACCACACGGGCGTGCCCACTGCGCCGAAGATAGTCATGAAGGTGTTGAAAGTCAGCAGGCACACGACACACTCCTGGGCTGCTGCACAACGCCGGCCATTCAGGAGCTGAGAGCTAAGGAGTTCTGCAGAGTTCTGGGCCAGGCCCTGGCCAGGAGTCCATCTTCGGATGTCCCATCGAGTAGAGCATTGGTGCCGCGAGGGCCGCAGGAGTGCCGAAGCCAGAGGCCCCCTCGACCTCAGGAAGATACTCAACCTTCAATCAACATCTCTACAGAGTTGAGGCGGGACGGGTCTCGGCAGGCCTGGCTCTTGGTTCCGAAGTCTACCACATGAAATGACATGAACTGCAACGGCAATGATCTCTAGACCGCGCTGGCTTGGGATCCCCACCACGAACGCAAAGCAGAAGCCGATGAGCATCACTTCGGCCACCGGGTGGCTATCGGTTATAACCCGCAGCTGTACCTTCAGATGCCGTTTGATGCCTATGCCACATCAACGATTGAGTGACCCTAGCTTAAGGGACCTTTAGAGAAAGTCTCAACACGACCTTACAAGTGATCCGACAACCTTCACGAAACGGAGCGTCGCGCAGGGCCTTCATCCATGCAAGGCAATGGGCGGACTCCATGCAGTCGAACAGGAAGATGGCTCCTCGCCAAGCGATTCCGATCGTTTACTCGAATAAACTCCTTCTACTGCAGCAGGGTGAGCTTACGCATCGCAAACGTGCGAAATCTGCGAAGCCTTCTCTGTGCCGGCCTCTGCAAGGAGCAGTGCATTCAGCTGCCCCGAACAGCACGTCTGTTCCCCGCTCGGAAACTATGGAATTTGCTGTTCGGTGTGCAGAAACTTCAGTGACCTCCTCAGCCTATCCAACTTCCTATCGACATCACCTCTTCCCTTTTGACAGCAAGGAAGAAAGCAGTGTCACTGCGGCGACCATCGGAGCATCAGACTTGATAATTGCTCTAGGGCGAAGCTCGTAGCATGTGTGCTCGAGTGTGGCAGACTGAAGCCGAGATTGTATCATTTTGCAAGGCTTGCGAGGTGCGACAGGCTGACGATACGCTGGAATATGCCGCAGCGGAAAGCTTCTGTGCCACCACGGAAGCATCATGCTTGCGGGCAGAAGCCTAACAAGGCTTAGCGACGAAGAAAGGCTGTGGAAATCTACAGCCACGGAACTCCTGCCACGATGCTGCAAGGCGTCAGCGCCTGCAAGCAGCCTTTGATGAAGCAAGCGCAGGCCTCCGGAAGAGCTTCTGGAGCTAAAAGAAAAAGGTCCAGTCTTGTAAAGTCTTATACTGGGCCAACGGGCCAACGCTGAATCTTCAGCCAGCAGGGCTGGGCATCGTGTTCGCAAAGGCTGGTACTGCTCGGGCCTCGAGCGGGGCCGCCTGGAGATACCAGAGCTTCAGCACAAACAGGATGACTGCCGCGCACCAGAGGCTCCTGGTGAACATGGCCATCAGCCTTGGAGCTGCCTTGTATTCCTTTGCTCGGAGTGTTGCAAGTCTGTGCTGCTTGCACCCTTGCACCTATGTTGTTTGAGTAGTGCTTCGCATTAACCAACACTTGCGATCATGCGCCCAACGGTCACCCGTCGACTGTAAGTCTTTCATTTCGACCTCTCCCGCCGAAGAACAGTGGATACTGTAGCGGTTTGACAACCTGGGAATAAACGTAGCGGCTCTTTGCAGTGGGCATAGGCTTGGGTTTCAAGACCATCGCCACCAGGAAGGCGATGGGCAACAACCTCACGTTCAACGGATGGGGATAGTCCACCGAGCAACAACTGGATGCTACTTGGAGTCTCAACAAAGCTGACGGCAAGTGGCAAGATGGGGGCATCCCAAAAGCCCCAGGGTCCCATGCGGGTCATGGCAGCGAGGTCTAGAGCGACTGGTGGGATAAGGACTCGTTGTGAAACGCTTTTGTGCCAAACGGCGGGAAAATCATCCAAGCAAGCACCCAAGTGTTAAGACACAGCCAGCTTGCGATGCCGAAGTCGTGATGTCAGGAAGAAAGCTTTCGCTGTGCAGGACGCAACAAGGAATTGGCTGAATCCAAGCACTTTCAGATTCCTGTCAGCATGATGTTGTCTGTCTTCCTGCTTCGTCTGGTCTCTCTCGAACTATCGTCTTCGGCAGTATCAGCAAGAATGTCGTAGCGAGTCGAGGCACTTTTGTATCGGTTCTTTGCCTCGCATCCTAAAGTACAATTCGAGCACGGCGGAAACTTGTCGCCAGTCGTCAGTGCGATGTAGGATCAAGCCACACAGTCAAACATGTCTACTTGACATGCGAATCCTTCAACATGTCAACAGAACCGATAGATTCTCAAAGTGGCACATTCGAGCCACTTGAGCCAGGACCAACCAATTATTCGTGGCAAGCTCGAGCCACTGGTGAAACCAGACACCACCCGGGCCGACAGGAGTCTAGACCGTCAGCTAACAAAGTACAGCTGCCATCACCATCACCGCGCCTGGTCGGTACCGTTCTTGGTGAAGGACCCCCCAAATGTCGGCCCAAGCGCCGAATGGGTGGGAGAGGGACTGAGCCCGGTGGATCGAGAAGGAAGCATCACTGCTAGCTCTCTGCTACAGCACGGATGGCTGTAACTCATCACAACTTCTTCTGGGTCCTCAGGTGGCTTTGGAGACCGCCGCCGCAACCAATTCGACGGCTTTCTCGGCACTGAGCACCGACTTGGCCTTGTCGCGAGGCCACTCAAGAAAGTCTACTTTGACCTCCAGAGTATTCATCGGCTAATCACCGGTGGATAGGTATCATTCCAGCGTCTACGGCGCTGCTTGAAAGCTTTGAATGGATGTCGTGCGATCTCAGCAGCTACTAGTAACTATTTTTCTATAGCCACCATGGATGCCGCCTCTAAGTCTTGCGACTTGCGGCATGTTACATGTGTCGGCGGGCCATTTAAAGCAGTGCAGAGGACCTTCATTGCAGCGTGGCTCTGACGATCGAGCAGATCAGCAGGCACTTGAGGGTTGCATCGGCAGGGGTGATGGACACGACTTCTAGAAACGCAGAGCCTGCTAATGGGGAGCTTGCAAGCAATGCTCTTTGTGCGTCCCTGAGAGGAAATGCCGTGCTGTGCTTCTGGCCTTCTCCTGGATGAGGTCCAGGATACCTAGGCGGCACAAGGGAGACAGGGCTCACCAATCCGAAATCTTGGGAGGTGGTCGCAGTGACAGCCGAGCGTCGTTGGAAGCACTTGACCTTGTGGCGGCTCTGCTCTGCAGTTGCACTTTCGTGTGACATTTACACACCAACTCTTGCGGCGGGTGATATGATAAAACATCGCCAAGGATTCACGGCCGCAGTCTCCGACAGAACATAGGCCAATCATGTGATATCTGTGGGCTTAGATGTCCTCAACGCGATGGCCTTGTCATGGCCGTCAAAGACCAGCTTCTTCCCGTTGGCGGCCATGGCTAGACGCCCTGCTTCGTCCAAGGCAGCGATCCTCAGTTCTTCAGGCTTTTGGCTACCCGTGCACTTCACATCACTTCAAGCGGCATGCTTCGAGACGAACTTGGAGCTACTCTATGCTACCCTGCTTGTTTTGAAAATGCGTTTCGTACCCCCGGTCTGTGCGAGAGTTCATGCTACTCAATCCGCCGAGAGTCTTGGCGATAGCCTCGGCGCAGCCTTCGGCCATTGCATCCCAGGTGCTCTCATCTTCCACCTGCGAGCTTGACAAGCGGACGTGCCCGTAATTACTTCCCTCATCGTATCTCCAAACAGAGATTGGCGGTGTGCACGTGATCTTCTGACCCGGGACTGGGAATCCTTAGCTCTCGGGGTGGTTGGGTGGTTCATAGCAAGATTCTCGGCAGGAAGAGCGTTGGACGATGGAGGAAGCCATTGCTCTTGGCTCTCGCTGCCCTGTTTCTTTAAACCATGTTGGCGTCTGTCGCTGTTCATTTGGCTTGCACGTGCTCTTACGTGTGAAGCTGATCGCATCGGCTCAATGGACATGCTCTCGAGATGTACTCCTTCTACGACTCCACCGCAATCGGCCAGACCGTGGCTGTAACCATAGGCTACTTATTCGCTCTCAGTTCGAGTTCATCGGGCTCTCAACTGTGGCAAGACCGACTTCGATTCCGGGTTGTGCCCGCCTTGCCAGCTTCAAAGCAGTAGCCTGTCTGCCCATCCACCACCACTTCGGGCATGCCGTAAATGCGCGAGGCCACGCAAGGCTTCTCCATGGCCAGGGCTTCCAGCAAGGCGTTCGGAAGGCCTCCCCCGCCAGGGAATGCCAGGGACGACTACGACTGGCTGCACATGAAAAACCCAGCTCGGCCTTCCAGGAAAGAGGCCAAAGCAATGCAATCGCAGGCCTCGAAGACATAGAATGGCTCCTGGGACAATGCTTCCGTTCGAACTTGCACTCTGCGCATCTCTGCGCTCTGCCAATCTCGATGCCTTGCAGGCGGCCGGTCCAGGATAAACTCACAAAACCAAACCGCTGAACCGAATTGGGACTGTCTCCTTGGTGAAAGGATGGATGGACACAGCCGAAGACAGGCCCAAATCAACGACCATCTTCTCAATGTCCTCTTTCAGGTCACCTGCAAACCCGATATCTTACCTCAAACTCCGTCACACTTTATCATGAGAGCAAGGCAGTCTGTACGGGGCGCCACGACGAGGACAAGAAACATGACAACAACAAGTAGCAGAAGCAGTAGCAGTAGCAAGAGGAGTAGGAGCGGTAGTAGTCGTCGTCGTAGTCGTAGTTGTAGTCGTAGCCGTAGTCGTAGCAGTAGCAGCAGCAGCAGCAGCAGTAGTAGTAGTTGTTGTTGTTGTTGTCACCCACATGGCACGCCTATGACAGCTCCGCGGGGACTAGTAGTAGTAGTAGTAGTAGTAGTAGTAGTAGTAGTAGTAGTAGTAGTAGTAGTAGTAGTAGTAGTAGTAGTAGTAGTCGTAGTCGTAGTCGTAGTAGTCGTAGTCGTAGTCGTAGTCGTAGTCGCAGCAGCGGCAGTAGTGGCAGCAGCAGTAGTAGTAGTAGTAGTAGTAGTAGTAGTAGTAGTAGTCGAAGTCGTAGTCGTAGTAGTAGTAGTAGTCGTCGTCGTCGTCGTCGTCGTCGTGGGAGTTGTAGTTGTGCATAGTTGCAGCAGCAGCAGCAGTCGTTGTCATCGTCGTGTTGGGGGCGGTGGTGCTGGCGGTAGTAGAGAGGTAGTAGTAGGAGCACCGGCAACAGTAGTGGGTTGCACCAACCAAGCAGTAATCAACCACAGGCAAACCTAGAAATCTTGGACTGAACAGCTCAATCAACAAACTCCTTACGACCCAAGCCCGAAGCCAAACCGCTGAAGCCACCACCTACTTCCTCGGCGGTGCTCCCAAACTGATCGAAGTACGGGTACTCAAAACTGCAGACAGTGACAAAGGCCTTCGCCAACCATCAAGACCTGTGCATGTGAGTCATCGTGCCGGTGTCACGTGCAGTGCTGCAGCCATGCTCGTGTCTCCAATTCCGCCCGTCCACGGACTCGCTTGCCGGCTTGCATGGATTTCAGGGATGTCTATGTATTGCAGTCTCATCATAGGAGTGGTTGAAAGGTGAATCGAGAAGCAATATGGCGGGGCTTGACAAAGGCCAGCCCTACACATCATGACCAGCCCTTACTCAACACTCAATCTGCGACCAAGACACGTGGATATTGGGTACTTTTCCTGTCTCCAACAGCTTCTTCACTGCTCGAAGCCTCGGCCGGCATCGCAACTCGACTCGACATCTCTCCGTGCTTTGCTTGGGACCTGGGATGGAGGCAGTCCCCCCCCGTCCCGCACAGTTTGCGCTGCCCCGTCCATCATTGTGTTGGACGGGCTCGGTCTGTACAGAAAGGCGAGTGATTGGGTGCCTCGTCGGTTGGAACCAAGTAAAGAAGCTGAAGTTGTTGGCACCCAGATTCACTCCTCTACTGACTTTTCAGTGCTCCCCCGACATTAGGTCCTTCGAAAGCATCGATATCTCTCTCTCTCTCTCTCTCTCGCTCCCTCTCCGTCCCTCCCTCTCCCAGCACCCTCCCTCCCTTCCTCTCTCCCTGCCTCGCTTTGCTTTGCTCGGGGTTTCGCTTCTTCTTCTGCTGCTGGGCATAGGGGGCGGGTCAGGCCTCCCGGCCTCATGGGCCCCCCATTTGTTATGGGGCTTTCGGCGGGGCGTGAAAAGACATCGAGTCCCCCAGCTGGGCAAAAGTAGAGTGTATTGGACTACAAAGATTGCTGGGATCAGCGATGGTTGATTGTCACATGCACATGATCGTGATTGTGGATATTGGGGTCGCTGCCTAGAACCACAACAGGAAAGAACTTCTCAAGACTAGTGGAACACGCTCCCCCCATCTCACAAATCTCGATCAACAAGCACCTCTCTTGGCAGTTCTTTACGGAGCGCTTTGAATTGTAAAAGTCAATTGGCTTCGGTTCTCCGTCCTGTTCGAAAAAACAGCGACAACGCACACAAACTACAATCTTGCACGGGTTAACCGATAGCTGTGATGTGTTTTTCAGTAGTTACATGTGAGACGTGGGTCCCCCGGAGTCATAACCGTCAAGAACTCGAAACACGTAAACCAACTCAGGTTTCGCATCTTCTTCTGCAGGGCATAAGGGGCGGGTCAGGCCCCCCGGCCTCCTGGGCCCCCCATTTGTTATGGGGCTTTCGGCTGGGCGTGAAAAAAACATCGAGTCCCCCAGCGGAACAGGAAATATATTGGCCTATCAGGTTTCGCTCTCCCCCTCTCTATTTCTTTTTTTCTCTTCGCTTCGCTTTGCTTCACAGGGTCAGGCTCCAGGAGCCTGCGCCAAGGCGACCCCTTTCCCCCATTGTTTGGTG